GTGCTGCGGTGTGCGACTGCCCCTCTGAATAAGTGAAACGTGTATGTAACAGTTGTTTACACTGAAATTAAAAATATTTGACCAAAGGAAAACCGGAGCAGGACTACAGAGAGATAAATATGATATAGATTTTTATTTCTGTGACTTTACGACCCACAGGGTGACAAAACATTAACAGCACATTTTATTCCTCGGCTTAAAAGCAGATCCTTTAATTCCACAGCTGATGCTGCTATAAATGACTTTTTTTTTTGTGGATCTCCAAGAGCCGGACTTCAATCTCCAAACTAGTTCTTCTTTTTTTACTTTGCGATGTCACTTATGAATGGACACTTCCTTGTATGTGGGGCAGGAAACGTATAGCCTTATATGGTGTTTTTTGGGGTGGTAATTATGCTAATGTCCTCTCCCCGTGCATGAGCACGTGATACACATTCAGTTTACGCTCCTCATTTACACACTTTCCAGAAGATAGAAGAGTTTGTTGAACCTGACGTGACATGTTCGTACGAACCCTTCATACGAAAAAAAGTAAGAGAAATTTAGGATAAGAATACGAACATGTTCTTGCATGAGGCCCAGTGAGTATTTAAATTACAACTAGTTAAAAAGCAGTTTCAGTCATTTGAATGACAAGCTGAACAAAAAAATATTAAATATCTATCGACAATTAGAAAGCCAGTCCTGATAGAATGCTGTTTTAACATAAAATAGGTGAAATAAAAACATGACTTGTAACAAATATATTCTAGATATCTGACATTATTTTTCATTTACGTTCGCCTTCGTCTCAGAGATGTAAACAGCATCATTTGAGATATTGTGAGAGCGAGGTCTCTTCTTCAAAGAGGCAATTATCCATGATGCCTAGCGACCCTATAAGTAGGCTCCCTAGCCTGGCCTCCGTCACTTTTCGTTTGAGAGAGGAGAGCCTCGAGAGGTAAGTATTGTTGACACCACGCAGTGGTGGATTTGATATGTGTTTGAGATGCTGTCTCTTTCTTTTACAGTGACGTTTGGTGGCGATTCAAAAGCAGCTGACTGCAAATAGAAAAGAAGTAAGCCGCGACTCAATGTCGCAGGTTTAAGTCCAATCCCGTACCCTGATTAGCCACGGGGCTGTCTGGTCGGGATACACTAGCTTGCTAAGCGGCGTGTAAAGGGCTCGACACACGGGCAGCGACAAACTACAGCGATTAGCGGCTGTCATCACAGCCAGGGTGAAAACCCGACACACGGGACGTGATAGCGATCACAGCGTTGCGAATCGCGCTCTCTTCACAAAATTTGATTGTTTCTTAACTCTGAAGGCGGGTGTGCATTACGGACGTGTAAACTAAACAAAACTTGCGATGCTAATGATATTGAAAAACAAACACACATCAAGATTAAGTTTTATGAGGAAAAACTTACCATAAACTTCACCCTGGTGCCAATAAATTCCCACAAAGCTTTTTAGTAATCACTTGGTGAAAGTGTTAGCTAACTGCAGTGTGTAGCATACTCTCCTCTYATTGGTCAGTCAATGAAACCCAGCACAAGACACTGTTGTCTGATGCTATTAGCCTGTTAGGGCATACTATGCACTCATTGTCGGTGAGACGACGTTATTTAATCCGGCCAAGATTACAAGGAATATACACCTCTTTGTGTTCCATTGACATGCTAATTTCAGCAAAATTGTTTGATGATGACTTGGTTAAGCGGATCAAAGAGATAAATGAACTGGCTAAGGTATCTGTTGGTTATCCTCATCTAGGTGTTCCTGGGAGGTACAACAACAGCAAGTATAATGCTTTCCAGACTGCTAGAGGAAGCGTGAGAGGCCGGCGCCGGATTTGGCGGGGACCGTACTCCCGACGAGGGTCCCAGAGAGGAGCCTACACCAGCTTCAAGATGGGAGACACCATGGATCAGAGGGGACAGGCTGGCAAACCCCTGATCGTGATTGACAAACAGGTCAGTGGACCACACACACGACTGCTGGTAAAGTAGCCTATTGCATAAGAGAGTGGGAAAGCATTACAGCAGATCAGTGGGTTTTGAGCTCTGTTTCGGGCTATAAAATAGACTTTGTCACTGAACCACTTCAGCTGTCAATACCATCAAAAATTCAGTTCTCAGAGTTTGAGTCAGATCTGCTTGATCTAGAGATTCAGAACTTGATAGCCAAAGGTGCTGTTAGGATAGTGGAAGCTGTTTCAGGCCAGTTCATCTCTAATATTTTTGTTCGACCAAAAAAGAACAGTAAACTCAGACCTATTCTAAATCTGAAGGGGCTGAATAAATTTGTTAGATGAAGAGCCCAACTAGCTCAGTTGGTAGAGCATGAGATTTTTAATCTCA